TCATGTTGGCTTTGAGCTCCTTCCTGCCTCATCCTTCAGCTCCTGAAATTTTGCCTTGCGCTGCTACTACCATATTGGAAGTACTTTTCTGAAGTGTTTGGAGATCCCTCCAAAATATTTTCCCCTACTGTTGTGGGGATCCACCCCCTGCTTTTCGAAAATAGATTTAGTTATTTTTGGCACATGCTATTTGAACTGTAGATCACTGTGTCTGCTACTGAAATTTCTTGTCTGTGCTGTCCCTTCTTTTGCTAACCCAATATCATCATTCATGCATCTTTCTTTTCATCTTTTGCTTTCTGTTAGCAGCAAACTCCTGTATGTGTAAACTTTGTGTGATTCATCTTCCTTCCTACCGGTCACAGCGGCTCCTCTCTCTGTCTCTGAGCTGTTTCTCAGATGGCACCTGTAACATGTTTTTCCCATCATCTGTTCATCTTCCTCCTCTCTCCATGCAGTGTTATGAATGCCCTGAAAGACTATTGGGCTTGCTGCTCAGGACTGAGCACAGGGTGCGACCCCAGCCAACCTCTAAAGAAGAAGGGACTCCGAGACACACTGGCTCCCCTGGTCGTGTTGTCCCTGCGGTTGCAGCCATTTAATCTCATTTCCATAGCTGTTAGCAGTGCCATTTCCTGTCTGTGCTTCCTGTGGGCTTCTCCGCCAGTGCAGTGGGCTTTCCTGATGAAGACCACCCGAGTCCCTGGCTCTCCTCATCTTCAGCATTCATTTGTTCCCTTAAAGATTACTCATTTAAATCTATACACTTAATAGAGAGCATAGGTTACCTGAAGGAACACAGTAGACCTGCTTTGAGACCGTGTCTCTCATTGGTCTGGAACTCACAATGATTATTGTGCTCTAGGAATCTTACTGTCTCTGCTTCCCCCATGTTGAGATAGATTATAAGCCCCTGCCATTACACTCACCTTTTTTTCCCCCTGGTTTCTGGGATTGAACTGTAGTCTTCATACTTTGAAGGCAAGCACTTTCTGCACAGAACTACCTCCCAAGTTCACGAAAATACAAAATTTATCCATGGGAGGAGCAAGCAAAGTTTTCCTTATTTTTATTATTTTGTGCGTATAAGTGTTTTTCTTGCATACATGTCTGTGTACCATGTGTGTGCCTGGTGCCCATGGATACCAGGAGAAGGCATCAGGTCATTTGATTCTGGAGTTACAGATTGTTGTGAGCCGCTTGTGGCCATGATAATATCCAGGGCTGTGCAAGACTTCCTCTTCTTCACACCCTTGCTTGCGCATTGCTTTCTACTTGGTTGTTTTTGATTAAGAAGTTGTTGGGTATTCATTTACTTTTGAGATCTAATCCTTGGATTTGAATTCTCACTCCCAGCTCTGAAAGGGTGATAGGTTGCATCCACCTTGATTTGGGAAAGCTGCGCGTTCTTATGATACTGACTTTTTAAAACCACAAGCATCAGATGCCTTTTCCAACTTTTTTGTTTCCCTTCCAAATTTATTTTTTTACTCTTCTGTTTGCTGTGTTAGGTATAAACCCAGCATATTGTCCACCCTAGGCAGACGATCTCCTGCCGAGCTGCTTCTCAACCAGTAGTTTTCATTTTAAAGATCTCTCTTCTCTCCAGATAAATTTATTTCTTGATAGTTTTTTCTTTCACTTTGTTTTCCTCCCTCCCTCTCCCTTTCTCTGTCTTGCAACCCTCTTCCTCTTTTCCTTCCTCCTCCCTGTCTCCTGTCTTTCTGTCTTCCACTTTTGTTTTCTGATAATGGTATGTAGTTCTGGCCTTTTTTGAACTCAGTATGTAGCTAAGAATGGCTTTCAACTTTCTGATCCTCCAAGTGCTGGGATTATAGGCATGTGCACCTTGTCTGGTTTTTGTGGTGCTGGGATCAAACTTAGGGATTTGTGAAATGCCAGGCAACTACTCTACCAATTGATCTCCCTTCAGCCCTGAGTTATTTTTAACAGCTATTATAAATAGGATTTCTACTTAATGTACTGATTTCAAATTTAGGCAGTCTAGTTATTATATAAAGCAGAACTACTGAGCTTTTGTCGAACATATTTATCCTTTCATTTAAGCTGTCCTTGGCTCGAGTATAGCTCTGTGCTAGAGTGCTTACTTGCCTAGTGGACATGTATGTGATCTCCAGGACTGCCCTCTACCCATCGAGGGAGAGAGAGAGAAAAGACTAAAAGGGGGGGGGGGTTATGTATGTAAACTCTTGCCAGATCTAGTACTCTGTAACGCAGATACAACCACTCTGCCTGCCCTGTTAACACATAGACGTAAGTCTACATAACCTACTTTATACATTCCTGTACACTGGGTCACAGACAGAGTATACAGCTTAAACACAGAAGAGAGGAGAGGACACTGCTTGAGAATGAAGGAGCAGGCTCCGTAGGCCCCAGTTCCTTTCACGCTGTGCTGTGGCCATCCTGTATCCTAGGGAAAAGTCACGGCCAGCTGAAGCACTGCAGTGGAAACATCTCAGTGAATCACTGTTTCTGTTTTATTTGCTGTGCTAGGTAAGTGCTCTACCACTAAGGCACAGTCCCAGCTCAGCTTCCTCTTATCAGTAGTGTATTTGGTGTGTACTGTTCCTCCTAGGCCCAGTGGCTTAGAACACACTTGTGACTGCAGTGTTAGAGAGGCTGAAGCAGGATCCTTGAGTTAAAGGCCAGCTTCCTATTCGGTGATGTAAGGTGTTGTAAGGAGGCAGCTTGTTTGTTCCTGGCTGCTCAGCCCCGAAATAACCACACAGAAACTTTATTAATTAAATCACTGCTTGGCCCATTAGATCTAGCTTCTTATTAGCTAACTCTTGCGTCTCAATTTAACCCATTTCTATTAATCTGTATATCGCCACGAGGCTGTGGCTTACCAGTTAAAATTCCAGAGTCTGTCTGTGTTGGGGCTACATGGCTCCTCTCTGACTCCACCCTTTTTTCTCCCAGGATTCAGTTTAGTTTTCTCCTCCTAGCTCTGCTCTACCCTATCACAGTCCCCAAACAGCTTCTTTATTAACCACTGGTATTCACAGCATACAGAGAGGAATCCCACACCAGTAAGGGAGGGAGGTGAAGGGAAGGGAGGGAGGGGGGAGGAGGGAATGGGAAAGAGGGAAGAAGGGAGGAAGGTTGGTTGTTAGGAGATCTTAAAGGGGAAATAAGTTTGTCTGCCCACTCTGTTACACCCCATGAGTAGTGTTTAGAGACTACTGCTCCTGCAATGGCATCCCTGTCCACACCTTTCTTTCATTCTATCTTTCAGGCCTTGAGTGTCCCTGCTCTCCTACTTTATCTCACTAGGTTACCTCCCCTGTGGTCTATTTCCTAATAATTGTTCCCACATGTACTTATCGTCAGTTCTAGGCAGTTAGCACTGAATCATTCTGTGTCCCGTCAGCTTTGTGGTACAGAGGATTCCTGCCCCCACAGCATGTTATCTTAGGCTGAGACACTCATCAGATCTTTGCTCACGCGCTGACAAATGTTTGACATACACAGCACAGATCCTGGATTGTGACATATTAATGCTGGAGTCTCATTTCAATACAAGCAGAGTGATCTCTGTATTGACCTTGAGACTATATGTCACTATGAGCAACTCAAGAATTAAAAGTTTTTTCACTCTATTCATTTTTTCTATAAGGTTCTTGTTTTGTATGTATAATATTGTCCGGTTAATTTTGTGTGTATTCTAACTGCTGCCTGTTGTATCCCAGCAACAGGGGTGAATAGCTTCTACTGGCTTTAAAGAAATTAAAGAGAGAATTTGTTAGTATGGGGAGTTAGAAGTGCCCGAGTTTCTTATCCTCCCTACCGTAGCTTAATCTGCTCATCCCAAACAGTGATGCAAACAGATAGACCTGTGTCCTGGAGGAGCAGCATTTCTTAGTCACGTCCTGCTTTGGACGTCACCATCTTCCTGATAGGGTTCGACGATGTCATTCTTGTCTTTCAGAGCTACATAGCTAGTTTGAGGATTGATAGAGGCATCGTAGGCCTCTTGGCCTAACTGCACAACACACAAGGCCATTTCTAACGGTTCCTGAGAGAAACCCTAGAACTGTAGGAGCCTGTTACGGTGTGTGTACCGCTCCACTGACGTGTCTCGCAGTGGTCAGATTTGGGGTTCAGAGCTTTCTGCAGCTCTCCAACACGATTGTTTTATTTTACAATTCATCGAATCTGTAGATGTGGATTCCCTTGGTAGGGAGAACTATCCACACTTTTTATGTTGATCAAAAGAGTTGACTCAGTAGCAATCAAAAGGCCAAGCAACTCTTTGAGAAGTTCTTAGAGTACAGGTGAAATAGTGATTTTTTTTTTGTAGAAAGTCACACTATTTTAGAAACATAAGATTTCTTATGTAGAAAACCACACTATGTTAGAGAGGTTTCTGGGGGCTGTGAGATCCCATAAATTGCTTATACGCAGGTGTGAAAACCTGAGCTGGGACCTCTAGCACTCATGTGAAAAGCTGCATCCAGCACCCCCGTGTTGGGACTGAGAAGATCCCTCGAGCTCACTGGCCTGTCTTAGTTGATTCAACAGGGTGGGTTCAATCCCAGACCCTATCTTAGACTTAAACGAAGAGCAATGAGGAAGATGTCTGGCATTGGCATTTATGCGTATACTTCTGTGCAAATACCCGTGTGCACATGCACACACACAAAGTGAAAACCGAAATGTCCATGTGTTATTGTCGTTTCTGTGACCTGATAATGTTGGTTTCTTCCAGTGCTATGAACTTTAATTATACTTGTATCAATTTTCTTTCAAATTTAGCTCACTTATTTGCATGTGTGTGGACATCAGATGACCGGTTATAGGAAATTGGTTTGTTTCACCTTGTGGGTTTTGGGGACTGCTCAGGTAGTTGGGCCCTGGAGCAAGTCCCTTTCCACACTGAGTTGTTCCCCCAGCCCATGATTTCTTAAATGAAAACCTTTTTAGAGAGAGGGATGTTTCCATCCGTAATCTTTTGGTTTTCTTTTCTCTCGTAGGGAAGCTGAACAGCCAAGACTCTTACAATAACTTCACCAACAACAATCCTGGCAACCCCCGACTTTCTCCCTTCCCGAGCCTGATGGTAGTGACCCCTCTAGCACAAATCAAGCAGCCAATGACGTTGGGGACCATCACCAAACGCACTGGGTAAGGCGTCAAGCTTCTTGCTGTTTCCACAGCCCTCGTAGAGTGTGGAGTGGATAAAAACGGAAGGTGCTTTCTCCATTGTGTGTTTTTGATTATGTCCTTCATTTCCAGCCCACATGAGACTCAGTGGCAGCTGAATTTGCACACAAGCATGCTCACACTCAGTCATGTACACACATCCATAGTAAGAAGCAAAGCAGTGACAAGTTGTGAAAACTGGTACTGGCTAATGAAAACCAGACTTCTCCACTCGCTCACACTTCCTGCCTCGTGGCATTGTCTGATTGTACAGTTTGATTTTCTTGGCTCTTGCCAACACGATTGGCATTTTAACATAACACAATGCCCACATTTTGACAAATGCAAATATTAGCAAAAGTTTTCTAAATGATATTGCATTTAAGTAAGTTTATGAAATTTACCCACTTATTTGTGTGGATGTATTACACCAACATGTTTACATTATTAATCTACTGTTACTGTCTGAATAATGAACTATGACTTGGACTTTTTACGAGATTGATTCCTAACATTTTTAGAGATTTCATAATGTTCTTGAATTCTTTTCAGTGCTCACCTTAGCCGTTAAAAAAGTTCTCTACTTGTTCGGAATATGAACTACTGGATTGTGTGCCTGTGATGAACTACTGTGTGTCTGATATCATTAGATACTCAATTACATGATGATAATGACCATGCATTTTGGACTATTAAATTTGTACTTCTGTAGTCATTCTATAGCCAAGTTATTTGTTTTCCTCAATGTATATTCCCAGTATTTAATTGAATTAGAAATGGAACAAACTGTATATTAAAATTCCACATTAAAATAGTCTGGAGAAAGCCTTACCTTTGCCTCAGATAGTCCTGAGGGTCCCCCCCATGGGAAAAATAGATTAAATTATCTGGTCATGGTGTTGCCACTATGCTAATACAAAAGTACGTAGAGAGGTGACTTCCCTTAGAGAAATACTCAGGGCTCAACGAGGTTCTGATGATTTTGGTTGTCACACACCAGGGTGACGTGTGAAGTTGGCCTGCTGACCTCACCCTAGATGACATGGAGACATGTGTGAGGTGGCCTACTGACCTCACCCTAGGTGAATTGGTGACGTGTATAAGGTAGCTACTGACCTCACCCTAGGTGAATTGGTGACGTGTATAAGGTAGCTGCTGACCTCACCCTAGGTGGATTGGTGACGTGTATAAGGTAGCTGCTGACCTCACCCTAGGTGAATTGGTGACGTGTATAAGGTAGCTGCTGACCTCACCCTAGGTGAATTGGTGACGTGTATAAGGTAGCTGCTGACCTCACCCTAGGTGACATGTGTAACCCTACTGACAGAAGTAGGCTGAGCTTTGAATACATTAAGGGGACTAAAAACAAAAACAAATAAAAATTTAAAAAAATCCTGAAAACCTACTTCCGACATCACAGTTTATTTATTGTGCCATCTGTGACGTGTCTATCACTTATTATAGTGTTCAGTAGAGGCGCGATTTTAAGCGGTATCCTTTCTCTCTCTCTCTCTCTCTCTCTCTCTCTCTTTCTTTTGTTTCAAACATGTTGACCAAAAGGCCATAAATATTAATGCTGTTTTATTGCTAGTTGTTTCCCCTTTGTAAGTACACTTTGTATTTTCTGAATTCAAAATGGTTCTTAATCTTGAAGCAAAATTTTAAAGTTTGTTTGTTTTTTGGACTCTCTTAAGTTTGACTGAATGTAATTGCATGTCATTCACTCCAGCACTGTATAATTCTATAAAACACTGAACATTTGTATCTTTCCTGAATCTAAGTGAAAGCGAGTTTAAAATGTTGCTCTGATTTCAATGTCCGTTCAGAGGGAGGGGTTTATGCGAAGACGGCACAGATGTTTCTCGGGGCGTGAGGACAAATGCGAGAGCTGCCTGTTTCTGAGGTGCCCGCTTCTCAATTCGAGCTCAGGGCGCTTTGTGTCCAGGACTTAGCACTCCTCAAAGACTTCTTTTCTTTTCTTTTCTTTTTTTTTTTTTTGAGAAGGGTTTCTCTGTGTAGCCCTGGCTGTCCTGGAACTCACTCTACAGACCAGGTGGGCACAGAGATCCACTAGCCTCTTCCTCCCAGTGCTGGGATTAAAGGTGTGCACCACCACCACCCAGCTCTCAAAAACTTCTTAAAACAACTTTGAGATTGGTGTAGACGTGTTAAATACACAAGGATAGGATGTTAGGGTTTATTATACTCATCTATGCATCTAGTTGGAATGTATATTTCCTTTTCTCTGTATTTGAAAGTTTCCTAAGAAGCTTTTATGCTTTCCCATCGTCTGTTGATATAGTGGCAAGTGTATAAGTTGTTCACATCTGGAGATCTCGGTGGACTTTTGACAAATTTCCTGTTTCCTTGTCTTTTTAATAATTTGAGAGGCTGGTTAAGACGCGGCTGCTTTTTCAGAGGACATGTGATCAGTTTCCAGCACCCACATTCCCAGATTTGTAAACCATTTGTAACTCCAGTCCTGGAGTGCCCAGCCACCTCTTCTGACCTCCATGGGCACTTCTCTCACGTGTAACACACATGTGGGCAAAACACCCGCACATTTAAAATGAAATAAAACCTTAAGGAGCTGTGAGTTCCAGGCCAGCCTGATCTCCGTAGTGAGTTCATGGACAGCCAGGACTGAGAGACCCTGTCTCAAAAAAACAAACACAAACAAACAAAGGAAAGTAAACAAAAAAGTTGCTTAAAATTCTTTGATTTATAGAGTATAAATGCTATTTCCCGCATTGTGATTGTTTTGTTGCCACTGCTAGAGCAGACACGGCTCCATGCAAGCAAGCAAACACACTACCACTCAGCTACAGCTCTGTCCCCGAGCGCCCTCTCATATGTGATTTAATATTTATTGATGAATGCATTGGGAATTTGAAATTTTATGTGCCTTGAAACTCACATTAGAAAATGTCACAGAAGCCGGGCGATGGTGGCGCACGCCTTTAATCCCAGCACTCGGGAGGCAGAGGCAGGCGGATCTCTGTGAGTTCGAGACCAGCCTGGTCTACAGAGCTAGTTCCAGGACAGGCTCCAAAGCCACAGAGAAACCCTGTCTCGAAAAACCAAAAAAAAAAAAAAAAAAAAAAAAAAAAAAAAAACCAAACAAAACAAAAAGAGTCACCGTCACTCTTCTGTTGTTGTGAAGTGAAAACCATGACTAAGGCAGCTCTTAGAAAAGATAGCATTTAATTAGGGCTTGTTTACCGTTTGATCTGAGGGTTTGTAACCAAGGGCAATTAAACATATTCACAACATATCGAAGGCGTCTTACATTCAGGCCAACATGGTGCTGGAGAAGTAGCTAAGAGCTTTCCATCCTGATGTGCAAGGAGAGAGCCTCCAAGTCCACCTCACAGCGACATATTTTATAATTCTAACAAAACAGCTCGTGCAAACACATGAGGGAGGGGATTGTAATTCAGACACCAGTACTTTGGATATTCAGGTTCCTTCTGAATATGATTTTTAATTTTTTTCTCAAAAATTTAAAAAATTCATTAAAATGTATATTTTTTTTGGTCAGGAATAATATTTGGTTTGTGAGAGTATTATATTTTCTGGCTCGGCTTGGTGGTGCACGTTTGTAATCCTAATCCCGTACGGAGGATCTCAAGTTCAAAGCTAGTCTAGGCAGGTTGGTTAGGCCCTGTCTTCAAAGGGATGGCCAGTTAAGAGGAGAGCCTGGATGCTGGTTTATCATGCTAGAGGCCCTCAGTCCCAGCTCCACCAGTCAGCGCCAGGTCCAGCATCAGCCCTTAGATTTTATGCATTAGCATTCACAGACCACAGCTAGCTGTTTCATCTTTCTATTCCATTTTGCTTTATATACTTGGAAATTTGGTTTTCTCATGAAGATAACTAACCAGTGTAACAAACAAGCAGAGTTTTCTTTTTCCATGTACACTCATCCCTAAAATGCTGTGTTACCCATACCTTTCCTAGCGCTTTTAGAATGTAGTTATTTAACAAGGGGTGCTTCCCGTGGATGATTTAGAAAGTGGACACAGAACTCAGCCGTTTCAGACATGTAAATGCCGTGGCTGTTTAGATAACCCTATCTAGTTGTTAGGTAGAGCATCTGCCATTTGTCTCATGTAGTTGGTATTCTGTATAAAGGCGTAACATACCCACAAAGTGTTAGAATTCTCTCGCAGAAGTATGAAGATTGCCTAGGACTCAGGAGTTCAGACATCCTGTTTGAGATACAAACCTCAGCTTCACTCTGCAGGACACAAAATGTGTCGTTACCGTGCCTAACATCTGCCCTCTTATTTTTATAAATATATGTCTGCTACAGCCTGTGCGGTGTTGGGACCATCTGTCTCTCTGCTCTGCACACACGAGGCCAGTCCAGCTACAAATGGCAGGAGACAGCTGTGTTTACACCTTCCTGTTGAATACCTTGGAGCACCCCTTGGAGGGAGGAAGGCCTCTGATGGCAGCAGCTGCTTAGCTCACATGCTGGGTTTGGTGAGGCAAAGGAAGTTCTAGGAATTATTTGACTTCAGCCATCACTCATGTAAACAGAGTCCATTTTCTGCTGGTCTGGTACAGCAGGATTGGAAAGCCCCTTACCACATGATCATGTCTTTAACTAGGGAAGAAAGAAGAGGCCCTTGAGGTCAGTGGAAGAACACTTGCTTTGCGTGTGTGAGGCCATGGGTTCAGTTCCCAGTACCACAGGCAGGAAGGTTGAGAGGAAAGAGGGACCCAGGGAGGGAGGGAAGAAAGACTCCCCATTACAAGGGAGAGAGAAGTAGGGATTGTTCTGTCTTTTGGAGACGAGGTTTCTGCAGTACAGTTCATTAGCAGCATTTCATAGTCGTTTGGTTCAATTAAATCAAAAGCGAATAATTTCAGATGCTAGTAATAAAGAATTTGTTGTTATATTTTATGTGTTTTAAATCTAAGATGATGTATGTCAATTTTGTGGACACAGAAGGGAACAGTTTATGCTAGAATGA